CAATGAATCTACTCAAGTGGTCTCCTGATTTTGACCACATGTGCGAATCTCCTACTATACCGGTATGGTTTAGTCAACGTAATCTCAAAACTGCGCTTTTTTTATCATCAGGTTCTTTACTCTATTGGTGTCATACTTGGGGACTCTTTAAAGCTAGATCTACCCACTTTTAACTTAATCAGACCTTCTGTGGCCAGAATACTTGTTGAAAGAGATATTACTTTACCTGATGTTACTGAAGTCTGGTTGGGCACAACTCATAATGGATATTGGCAACAAATTATTATGAAACATAGACCTCCTTATTGTTCTCATTGTAAGATGTTTGGGCACAACCTTGATAAATGCTATAAGTTTCATTAATTTGAAATCTAACGATCAAGTGAATAAGAATGGATTTGACCCCAATGCTTTGGATATATCTGTTTCATCTGAAGAGAAAAATACCACAAAACAGGTTACGGTGTCTGAGTTAATTGCCCCTGTGGATCCCCCTGAAAATACTATTCCTGCAATCGATGAGAAGCTGGATGACCCTGCTGAGCAACCTACACTTTCAAACCCTCCTCAGTTGCAGGAAGCATTAGGTGAAAAGGAGACATTTCATGCTTCACACACACTTGAACCTATAGTCGTTGCAACAGTTGGCAATCCTTCTTCTGGTTCTCATCAGCTTTTATCTGCCCGACGTTCTATTTACCAACACGATGATCAGATGAGTCAGTCTTCTGAGGAGGAATGATAGGTCTATTCAAAGAGGAAGAAAAAGATTGGAGGCAAACTTCAGCTCGGGAACCTAATGGATGATACTTTGGTTACTTCGGGAAATGGCTTGACACTCAACAATTTATTATCTGGATCTCGCCCTAGAACTTGAGGCACAGGCAGGACTAAACTGGCTCGTCTTCCTTTCTGCGATTTTGGTATCTTTTTTTTTTTGGTTTCCCTGCATCTTTTATCTTTTGGGGTGTTTGTGGTGTTGTATCGTATGGGTAGGGTGCCTCTATTGGGTCATCTCATACAACATTTATGTATCTTTCCTATTTTAATAGATTTCCTATTTTCTTTCCTATTTTAATAGATTTAGCCCTTGGGATTTCAAAAAAAAAAAAACCCAGGGTGTTGAAACTGCTCCTGCGTACCCTCAATCCCATAACTTTTCTTGATTTCTTTGACATACAAGGGAAGAGGAGGCAAAAGATTCCTATGCCTCGAAGCCCTTTAATGCATGTAGCAACAAGATCATAATGTGCAAAGATAACAAAAAATCCCATCTTTTCTCCCACCAGCTTGTCCTCTCCAATACAGTTAAGACTAGGGCTAAACAGAAAAACAACAATTGGATCGCGATGTACAAAGAACTCTGAAACCCCTTCCAGCACCTTCGCTGGAAAGGCAATAACCAGACCGCAGTGGATAAAGACCTCTGAAACTCCTTCCTGATCGAATGAAGCTGCAAAAGCCAACAGGAAGTCAACCATGGGACCGCAGCGTATGAAGGATACCAAAATTCCCATCTTTTTCTCCTTTCGCTATGCCTGCAACCCTCTTCACTTCATAACTACAACAACTGCTCTTTGCATTTTGCCTAGGAATCATAGGTCTTCTTCTTTCGAATCTCTCTCTCTCTCTCTCTCTCTCTCATTTTCGTGTACAACAAATGCTCCTCCATTCCTTTACTTCATGTGTTTGAATTCCTTGTCTGAAACCACCTCTCCTTCCTTGTTTTTATTCACCCACCCCGGCCCTCCAATTTGAATGCACCGCTGCTTCATTGCAAACCTCACACAATCACTCCCAGAGTGCTCCTTATTGTTCGAATGCAAACCGAGCTTTATCTCCATTCCTACCATCCCGCCGCACCTACCTTGTTTTTTTAATTTTTATTATATAATATTTATTATATAGTGTGTGTGTCTGAGAGATATTGTGAGAGAGAGAGAGAGAGAGTTAGTTCATCAACTTGTCGATCCTTATTTCATCTCAACGTCGCATCGATGCCTCGCTCGCAAAGGTATAATGCAAGGAAAATGTGCTTATAGTATTTTCTCGCAGGATAATCGGAGACTTGTGTCTCAGAGACCAGTGGATTAGAATATTCTCTCCGGCCGCAGTGTCTCATGACACTAATTAGCATGTTTTATAGACAGTTGGGCATACACACTCCGGTGCAGCCCATAAGTGAGAGCAACGTCGCGAGACTGCCAAAATTTTTAGTGATATTGGACTTGCAAAAATGACTTAAGTTTGAATTGCTTAGATTATATGGACTTTAAGAGCGACAAAAATTTTGATGACAAAAAAATAAGTAATAAAATATAGAATAATAACTCCAATCAAGATTTAAGTCCTTTCAAGATAATAAAACTATACATATACATAAAAGCTTACGAATAATTTGATAACCCACCAATTAATGTGATTGGGCTCCTTTTTGACTTCAAATTTGATCGTACCTGAAGGCGATCAAATTAAAAAAATATATCCTAATGCAAATGAATCTTTATGTGAACTATTTGAAAATATAAATTGGCGGGCTGATAAATTGACTTAAATATGAAATACATAAATTGAGGGTAAGCTAGGGAGCTAGCAAATTGATTTAAATATAAAATATCATGAATTGGGGCTAAACTTAAAATATAAATATAATCTTTGAATATTAAAAAAGGACTTCATGTGTCTTTTAGCCACCAAATTCACAATACAGATGCTAGCGAACAGAAGACGATTCTTTTTAAAACCCAAAATGAAATTGTGTAATCCAAAATCACAATATTTTTGCAAACATTTCAAGTTCAAAATGATTTCAAGGTGCACAAATTCCTTTCTTGAAAAGTATAAACTTATCTCAAAGTTATAAAATCTTTATTTTGAAATCAAATTCAAGACAAATTATGGAAGTTTTAAATCGGGCCGTCTTGTCTATAGGGCAGTATTGTATGTCCTACTCAACTTATCCGATTCTTCTGCTTTTAAGCACCGGAGTTGACTTGTCTATTAAGTTTCAATAATGTCCAAATCACAAATATAAGAATTTGCAATTCCAAATCACCTAGTGTGATCCTCCTAATTATGACTGAAATTGACAAGCCTAGTATTCTATAGATATCAAAATTGATGAATTTCAAATAAATTTTAAACATAAATGTAATATGTACAAAATCTCCGATGACAACTGAGTTGATAGAAGATTTCAATTGGATGAGTCAATTTTTAAAATTAAATTTTATAAGCTATTTGAATAAGTTCAAGTAATATATATATACACCCAATCCTCTATAAGTAAGATGGAGTTGACAAGGTTCATATACAATCATGTGTCAGTTTGAAACCTAATCCTTTATAAGAAAGAAGTAAAAACGATGGGGTTCAAATCACGTTATCAAATTCTTTAACAATGACCATGTTGACTGAAAACATCAATCAGAAAGGCCAACTTCTAAATTAGTTGCTAGATTAAAATTTTAAAATAACAAATAAAAGTATACAAATTAAAATCAATCACTTGAAAACTTCAAATAAATAAATCAAAATACCCAGTTACCTAAAGACTCAAAGCAATATCCATTCACCCTCTGAAATAATTTATTACGGATGACAAACTTCTGATTGATTTTAGCTCACACTCAACGAATGCAATATTGAGTGCATCATTGTATTCACACTCAAAGTAATCTCATGTCAATAAAGACGGGTCTATGTCCTCTGTTAGCGTGGTTTGACCTAAAGATTTAACAAAATGTAGTGGTTATTACCAAAGCCCTCTGATTGAATGATTGTCACCAAATGATGCCATCATATTACAGTCACGACCTCAATCCATATATTCCCCAACAACTTTCTACCATTTGAGTTGTGAACCATAAGGTAGATTTGATTGATACAAAGCCTTTTGTCAGCTAAATTGAATAAAATTTATCACCTTAGACAACCATCCACCTCAGATCTATAAGAATTCCTTGGACGACGCAACCCATTATTGCTGATAAGGATTTTTCAATCAGGTTGGGTCGACTACTTCCTCTGACTAAGTAGATCAGAGATCACAACAACCAAAGATAACAAAACCACGGGATCTTCATCAAATTCGTCATCATTTCTCCCACCATTCGCTTTAAGATCAATATGATAATTTTTATAATCTAAAACCATAAATTATTGCACCATATGCTGAGTATTCAATACTTAATGACTAGCCTTAATCGAAAGTGCTCTCCAACTATTGGAAGGGGTACCTAACTATAGAGGCTTGCGCCTATTGAAAACCTTGAACCCCAAATCAAAAAGTTCTCACAAAATGCAGGCAAAATTTCTAGGGAGTGTCATATCAACCAAAGTTCGGGGTGTCAAAATTTTTGCAGTCCACGATTGTGTGCATTAAAAATATATATATTTTTTAAGTAGAACAATTCCTTTCTTAGAGATACTATGCATTAGCAAACCTATTTGTAAGAAGTAGCTTCCCTCCACAACAATATCCGAAAAGCAATACGAAAGTTGTGACAATGGTTTGAAAAAAAAAATAGTGAAAAAGTCATCGCAAACAGACCCTAGCATCCGAAGATATTGCCTCTAAAACGAGTATAATTTATTGGAATGCAGAAACAATAAGAATGGCTACAAAAATACAAATTCCCAATTTTAATTATAGCTTAAACTCCATGTTTAAGGCTTTGCACAATAGAATTGAATGCAGTCAAAATAGTATTAAACAGCCTTGCTTTCAAATTCCCATCCCCACTCACACAAAAAATTTGATAAGATGGCGGATGTGAAGAACGCTAGTTTTTACTTCCAACAGCCATAGTAAGTCCCCCTCTTTAACACTTCTGCATAAGTCTAATGCCAAATGACATTAACAATGACAATGATATACACTTCCAGAAGAATCACGCAATTTCAAACTTGAAAAATAAGAAAAAAAATAAGAAGAAAATATATTTCTTCAAGTCTACGGAAGATCCAATGCATGTTTTCAATCAGAAGCAGCTAATCACCTGAATATTCTTTTGATCATCTGAAACTACAAGACTCAGAGTACTTCCATCAATCAAAAATTCTGTTGCATAACAATCGAGAGAACCAAAGTCCTTAGCCAAAAGACTCAGTTGAGCACCTTGCTCTTTCCAATTGAGGAAGAATATGCTCTTATGAATGTCACCCAAGAGGATAAAGTTTTTTACCTGAAACAATTTTAATTAATTATCAGAACAGAATTTCGATAAATATCTACTCTCAAGTGCACTGCTGCTTGTTTTCAACAAGTAAATTATTGTAGGTCCTTTCACAAAAGTGCGAAGAAATAAGAAATATTTAGACAGGAGTAAATCAAAAAAAGCCGCCAGCTAAAAGGTAATATGATGTCTAGCAGCTGATGTTTGACATAATTACATAATGAATTAAAGGAAGGATGAGCAAATAAACCAAGTTTTCCTAATGTTAAGTGATGATTTCATTAATTAGATTAACTTCAAAAACCTGGCTATAATGCATGTCTATATCACTTTATTGTGTGTTGATTATTCAAGTAGCCATTTCCAGCCCCGAACGCAATAATCATTCATTCAGAAAATAATGGAAAAAAGGCTCAATGTAGATGGCTGCACTCTGCTGCGCTCACCGGTCGGTTGCATTAGAATATGAAATGGAGAGATTTACAAAGAGGTATGTTGACAGTCGATAGCAAGAAGTAAAAAATTGTCTAAAACATTTTATTCTTTAAAGCCATGAATGCAAAGAGAAAGAAACACAGCAGATTTCATTGACAGGGCTAGCGTACAGTGTTCAAGCTGACAACATAGAGAGGAGTGTCGTAGAATGCAACACCGTTGAGCTCAGAGCCTGTCCACTTGTGCAAGGTGATTTTGGGGCCAGATGCTATTAGCAAGTGACCCTGAAGAGATGCTAAAGCGGAGATAGCTCCCTTCAGCTCTTTGGAGTAAACTTCTGTTACCTGAAGAAAAATGAAGTTCAATACTGCCTGTTAAAACATATGCAAAAGAAGAAAAAATTAAAAGAAAGAGTTTTAAAGCTCTATGTTGCATATAAAATTAACGAATTAGGTCAAACAAGTACCAAATTTTGAGAGTTTTCACCATTCTTGCCGATAGCAAATAGAAGAATACGCCCTCGAGCAGAAACATCTTCCCCTTGTACATAAGCCGTTCCAATAGCCATAATAGCTTCATTTTCCTTGGTTGCTGAATTCTGAAGGATAGGGAAGAAAATGCTAGATTACAATAATGGAAATTACTAGAATGATCATTAATTGGTACATCACATAAGTAATTCATCCAAGTCTCTTAAGCCAACAGCACATCCTTAAAAAAGCAAAAGATATAAACTTACAAATAAGGTTACCATCCGCACAGTGAGTGCATTTTCGCAAGGTTGCATTGGAATACTAGCTCTTGTTTCCCAATTCCCACCAGATTTCTCCGGTTCCAAAAGGCGAACTTCAAAATCGTCAAGAGTGTAAGTTTTTTGGAGGTCATCAGAACTTGTATTTTCACGTTCCATTTGACCAATATCTTGATCTAACATAGATGACAATATTTGGTTTATTGGCCGAGCAACCTGCAGAGTTATGGTACAAATCCCAATGAACAAAACAAAAAACCACAATTAGAGAAATAAGATCGAAATAGAAAAGAACAACAGTCAAGAGAAGCGAACCAGAAGAAACAATATTAAGATGAAGACATACTTCCCGTTGGAACAGAAAAAAAAAAGAAATATATTTGGATGAATGTACATGAATAGAAAATTTATATCTGCTGTATGATAAATAAATCATACAAAAGAGACAGAATACAAGAATTTCATAAAAGTAATCGATATGAATCAGGAAAATATGGAAATATAAAAACTTTTAATTGAAATATTACCGTCTCAAGCATTCATTAACCAAGAAAAGAAGGTGAATTTTAATGATAAGGCAGGGTGGATTTTATAAAGCATCTTCATTTATTTGTATCATAAGTTCAACTTAAATAAATACCAACACATTATCAACTAGCCTTATCATTATGCTAGGTATAAAAAATGAACATGAAGTAGAATCAGCCATCAATCCGAATCACCTTTTTGAACAATGATTATACTTCAAATGATAATAAATTCAATAAGTTGCATGACAAAAATCTGAAAAAAAAGGATTAAGACCAGTAATTATGAATAACTCACTCCAGTAAAAAAATTAACAAAGTATTTAATGCTTTCAAAAGCTATGCATGGGCTAGCCATACAATGTCAATTGTCTTCAAAAAACTAATAGCTACTTTATTTTAAATTTTGTCAGTCTGCGATGACTTAAATTAGTAAAATAGTTGCAACATCCTAGTGCAGATGTTGTACCTGGATCTTTAAGACAGACAACTCATAACATTGACGCAGGGGCTGTTTGGGCTGAACCGGAACTTGGTCCAGCAAGCGGTTGTACTTCAACAGGGAGGTTGAGCTAGCCGACCCTAATTGGAGTTGGTAGCCTGCTGCCGCCCGATGGGGGGCTCCCCTCGTTGTCTTTTAATTATAAATAACTTGTTTGCTATGTTTAGGGTTAGTGTTTGCTGTGTTTTCTGTCAGGACAGCGGTCAACATCCAAGTTTTACCTGTGAGGGCTGTATTCGACGGCGACAAGGTGCTCCGGCTATAACTCGTCCTGAGGTTGTGTTTATCTACCCTTCCCCCGCTTCCCCAACTTTATCATAGCTGTCGGATCTGCTGTCGTCTCTGTTGAAATTATTATGCCGACTGTTTTTGCTGCTGTCCAACCACAGAATCTCTTCCCTGCTTCCCGTAACTGTTTGTTGTCATTCATCCTGCACCCCCTGACAGCTACTGTCGCTCTTCCTGCTATCCTAACCGGCTACTCACCCGTCCCACTCCACCTGCCCTCAGCTGATTCCCCTCACCTGCACCCTAATGGCTGCTTGCTAACTGCCGCCCTCCATACATCCACCTGAACTTGACGTCACCATCTATGTCATCTCCTAGTAGCAACCACCCCTTTCTTTATACCCCAACTGCCGCCAACCTTCTCCCCTGCAGCCTGCATCCCATCCAATCTTTCTAGTCGCTCTGTCTGTTGTCGCACCCTCCCAACAAGCCATCCCCACCTGCTATCCAACCGCAGCCCACCGATTTCCTCCTCCCTAGAGTGTTGTTTGTGTTTTGTACTATTTTTTTTCCTACTTTGAGAACCTTTGATGTAATCCTTTGAGTTTTCAACAATATTATTTATGTTCCATTGTGATTTGAGCTAACTCTAGTCCTATCCTAAGATTCCCTAGCACCCGCCCTACCCAAGCCACATCCACTCAAAAATTTTCTTTTATATCCGGAAACCATAGACAAATTTTGACCTAACCCTAACTTCACCTTGCTGATTTTCAAAATCAGCAACCCCAAACTAATTTTTCTACACATTCAATTAGTCTCATTCACCCTCTTTTCCTTCAAAACCTAAACCCCAATCATGCCACCACGGAGATACATGCCGGAACCTACTCGGGACAAGATACATCGATATATCTGTCGGCTTCAACTGAGGCTCGCGGAGATTAATGATGGAACGACGAGGGAAATTATCCTTGAACGTGATTTCAGTGATGAAGAAAAAAGGACACGACGCTTTGGAATCAAGTATCTGACACGCTCCAAGAGCAACGAAGCACAAACGACTCATGCAAATATACGTGGCGTATCAGTAATATACGAAATTGAGTTTTTTGTGTCGATCCCACAGGGAACGAGAATAATATAAATTCACAAAATTGTAGTTTACTGAAATCGGCTCTAGCTTGAATGTTTGATGTATTGGTAATTATTCTAAAGTGACTATCCCTAAGTTATAAAGTTCAAAAGATCCTATGTGGCAACGGTGGGGAGCTAAGATCCTCTTTGAAAAAGTTCTCCCCTGGAATGGTTTATAGGAAGTTAAATGTAAACATATGTCAAAAAGGCATGTGCTAAACGGTAGCATAAATCTTCCTTGCTCCTCCCGGTAGTCTAAGGAAGCTCTGTTAAAATCTAGTTTAGTTCCCCAAATCAAATTTATAATCCCATTAAAATGTCTTCCCAAGAAGTTTGCATTAACCTAGAGGATATATTCCTATTCCACTTAATTAATGCGATTAATCTTTCTTTTCTACTACGAACTCTTCCAAAATTCATAACTCACAACAGGTTTTAAGATTTCATTTAACCAGAATGAAAGTAAATAAAAATCTGAAAGTTAATCATCACAAACTGCACTTAAACATGAAATCACATAGAAGTTCACAATTAACGATCCTACATCCCCATTCTTTAAAAGAATATAGAAACTACTCAGTCCACATGATTGTACACAACTACAAACAATTTATTGAGATGAGAAATCAAATCCAGAAGTTTCCACAGATAAAATGAAAGTAAAACACACTATTAAGAACTCCACATACTTATCTCTTCTTTCTCTTGAATGGTGGAAGTTTACAATCACTTGTCACTCAAATCTCTATTAATCCCACTCATTTCTTCTCTCAAAATCTTCTTGAGAATTCTCCTTAGCCTTCTCTTGAAGTCTTCAACACTCCAAAGTGAAGGAAAAAATGAAGAAAAAGCTCCTCCAATTTTGTCTCCATCGTTTAAATAATTTCTCCGGGTGCATAGATGCATCTAACTACTGAAACCATCAAATTTCGCATTCTAGCGGCTAGGCGCCCATGTTGGCGTCTGACACAATAAATGGTTTGTTCATCTTAGTGACTAGGCGCTGGTGTCACGGCGGCCAAGCGCTGCTCTATAGCGCTAGGCGCTACATTTGAAGTGTCAGGTTTCCATACACTGGGGAAAATGGCCAAGAATAGTTCAGCTCCCATTGCCCAGGCATTCATGGGCAATGCCTAGGCACCAAATCTCCAGCGTCTAGGCAACACCTTCACGACACCAGATTTCCAGGCTCTCGATTTTGGCTCATCTTTGGACTGGTTTTGGCGCTAACCGCCAGAACGCTATTTTGTTCATTTCTGCTTTGTTTCGAATTTTGATTGCTCTCTTTGCCTGATTTCTGCAATACAACACTAAAACCTTTCTCAAAGCATAATAAAAATAATGAAATTAAGAGACATAAGGTATGAATTATTAAGGTAGCAATATCAGAGGCCGAAAGAGGAGGCCATATATAAAGAACACAAAACTTCAAAATAAAGGTGGATCTACAAAATTTCGATAGATGTATGGATCCAAAAAAAACTTTATTGAATGACCACAATCAATTGAGAGGATCTTTAAGCAAGAAGACGTGCAAGTAGATAAAAGGGTGAAGCTTGCAGTTATCAAATTGAGAGATAGCACCTCCATGTGGTGGGAAAACTTGCAGAGGTAGGCGAAGAGAGAACACGAAGAGAAGATTACCCAGTGGAAGAAGATAATGTGATGCAAAAAAAATACATATCGTCACCACCAGGATATATTTATGAGAATTCACCACTAACAACAGAGACGCCTATCAGTGGACAAGTTCACGGTGCAGTTTAACCAGTTGTAGATTAAGTGTAAGTTGATCGAGCCAGACGAACACACCATATCCCGTTATCTGGGGGGCCTGAAGTCCCCTATCAGCAACGTTGTGCAACTGCAGCATTATCGACACAGAGAAATGTCTAGACCTTAGCCTTGAGAGTGGAGAGACATAAGAAACAAAGAAAACAACCAACACCAGTCCGACAACCACCTACAGTTGGAGAAACCAGCAATAGCATGCCTCTGAGAGTTGAGAAAACATGTTCGAAAAAGGACAATGCCACCTCGAGTGAGAAGAAGACAAAGAAGAGTAGCACATCTACTATAATTCCTGCTCGAAAATGCTTTAGATGTCATGGATTTGGGCACATCACCTCCAGTTGCGCGATGAATCAAGTCGTGCCCTTTACTGAGTAGGGCGCAGTGGAGGAGGTTATCGGCGAGGAGATAGCTGAGAAACAGATCCACTTGATGAAAGTGAAATGCTCGTGGTTCGACATGTTCTATGGATTAAAATATGAAGAAACCGCGGTGACTTCAACACAATATTCTACACAAGCTGCACTGTCAACACAAAGACATGCAATCTTATCATCGATGGGGGGAGCAATAAGAACGTAGAGTCTACACATATGGTAGAGATGTTAAGCTTCGTGACTAAGAGGCACTCTCAGTTGTATTCTCTAACATAGATGAAGGAGAATAGGATCAACATTGACCAGAGGTGTCTAGTGAAATTTTTGATTGGGAGCAAGCTGCAGGATTTGGTGTGGTGTGACATGGTACCCATGGATGCCTACCACATGTTGTTGGGAAGACCTTTGAAATTTGATTGCAGGACTCAACATGACTAATTCAGAAACACCTATTCCTTAACAAAGGATAGGAAGCACATTGTTCTTCTCTCTTCGACGGAGTCCAAGAACACAAGTTCTCTTGCCAGCAGAGCAATATCGGTGGGACCAATTTTGGCGATGACAGATGATGATAGAACTGAGACACCTACACCAAACACGGGACAGTCAAGACAGAGAGCTTTTCAGGATATCATGATCGATACCTTGCCACCA